TCTGAGACCAGCTGTACAGGCGAGGATTCAGTACCCCTCTCCTCCAATGTGTCACTAGTGAAGAGGCAGATTATATCATGAAGGAAATTGATGAAGGGATCTGCGGTAATCACACCGCCGCACGATCTCTAGCGAACAAGGTCGTTCGTCAAGGGTATTATTGGCCCCGGATCCAAGAAGATACCCGCAATTTTGTCAAGAGGTGTGATAAGTGTCAACGGTTCGCGAACATTCTGCGAGCCCCCTCTCACGAGCTGATAACGAACACTAGCCCCTGGCCATTTTCCATGTGGGGGATCGACCTTATCGGTCCCATGCCAGTCGAAAAAGGGGGAGTTAAGTATGCCGTGGTCGCGGTAGACTATTTCACAAAATGGTTGGAAGCTGAACCGCTGGCCGCGATCACGACCGAAAAGCTGAAAGACTTCGTTTTCAAGAATATAGTGTGCCGCTACGGAATTCCTCACACCCTCATCTCGGATAATGGAAAGCAATTCGACAACGAGGAGTTCAAACAGTTCTGCGATGAGTTGGGCATCCATAAAAAATTTGCCTCAGTCTCAAGATCGCAAGCAAATGGCCAAGTTGAAGCTGTCAAAAAGACCATCAAGCACACTCTAAAGGCCAAGCTTGGGGCGGACAAGGGAAATTGGGCCGACAATCTTCCCGAAGTCCTATAGGCATACAGGACAACTCCGAGAACTTCTACCTCAGAAACGCCCTTTTCGCTAGCTTATGGCTGCGAAGCAATGATTCCTGTGGAGGTAGGAACTGGTTCTCTTCGGAGGGACTTGTACGATGAGGTTGAAAATGAAGCACTTGTGGGAGTGAGTCTGGATCTTGTTGAAGAACACCACAGCAAGGCTTCGCTAAGGATAGCAGCCTACCAGCAACGTGCGAAAAGGTTCTTCGATTCAAAGGTCAAGCGAAGAGACTTCCAGGTCGGTGACTTCCAGGTCGGTGACTTCCAGGTCGGTGACCTTGTGCTAAAAGAAGTTCTCCTAAGAACCAGGGATGCTGAACGGTTCCAAAGTACCCCGAGCTTGGAATGCTGAGCACCTCCAGCCATACAATCAGTAATCCCGAACTCAACTCTCATTGTAAATTAGTTTTTGATTTTGTTAAGGTTTCCTTTTTCCTTGTAAAATATTATTCTGTTCGCTTGTAACAGTTCGCATGTAATATTTCCTATGTAAATAAACTAAATTGTAAACTGCACTCATGTATGATTAGGCGAACAACAATTGAAAGCAAAATGTATTTCATTTATGTACAACAAAAATTGTTGACCCTATTGACTCCTATTGGGTCGGCCTCATCGCACTAGGCCTGGTCGGTAGGGGGTTTCTTCGAAGCAGAACCCGAACCCTCTGCCTAGTCGGATCCTCGGGCGGCCGTTGCTTTATCATCTTCCATCGCTAAGGTCTGCAAGGCTTCCTGCCACTCCCCCGGGAGATCGGACATATCCAGATTTGAGTTCTTTGGTCGCAGGGCATAGATGGACCCGATCGCCCAGTCAACAGCCTTATCCTCGACCTCCTCCGACTGGCTCCGCATTTCTTCAATCAGGGAAGCAACCTTTTCCCGACTCTCCTGGAGCTCGGCCTCAAGAGCTAGCCTTCTCTTTTCGGAGGCCTCAATTTCTTGTTCTGCTCGCTGAGCCCGCATTAAGGTCGTCCGGAGCTCCTGGTCCTTCTCTCCGACCTCCTTGGAGAGTCTAACGGTTGTCCTTTGAAGCTCTTTTACTTCCTCCGCGCGTCGCTCAAGCTCCATCTTTTGGAAGTCCATTGTATGCATAGCGGCCGTCTTTTGGTTCAAGTATCTGTTCGCTACCTCAGCGGATAACGTTCTTTCCACTTCGACGTCCTCCAGGCTCTATTTGAGCTTCGCGATCTCCTCTTTCAGATCATTTTCCCCCTTTGCGGCTCTCAGCCAAGCCTTCTCCAGGGACATTCTCATGGCGAGCAGAGCTTGCGAACAAGAAATGAGTTAGAATGAAAATGGCGGACAAACTCTTCAAGAACAGTTCGTTCACCTTGTTTAGATGCTGAACCGACGTGGTCATCAGGTCAACATCGCCCGTATCGACGAACTCATCATATGACTCCGATAGTCCACACTCAAGTAGACAGTAGACTATCGGCTACAGGTATTTGGGCAGGTTCCCCAGCGCGTCCAGCACTGGTGTGTCTTTCGCCTTGTCGGCAGCAACCGTCTTGTCCGCGGGTTCCTTGCCCAACCTCCTTTCGATGTCCCGCCGCGACCTCAGGGGTTGATCACCCTTAGAGTCGGTCTCTGACTCGTCAACCTGAATCTGCTTCCTCTTCTTCGACCGCTAAGCCATTGTCTTCCGCCTCGGGCGAGCAGGCAATGGCTGAGCGACCTGTTCTGTCCTGGTCGTTTCTTCCTCAGGATGGGGCTGTGAAGGCACGGTAGTTCACACCGGTTCTGCCGCTATGGGGCGAGTAGCTTCGGCCGCCCTGGCCCTCCTCGATCGAGGGAAGTTAAATGGCGCTTGCCGGGGCGGCTCGGACTTTTTCTGAGGCATGGTCGCTGCATGCAAGTACGTTAGTAACTAAAGAAAAATTATTCTACGACCAGAAAGGAATCAGTCGGCCCAACTTACACTTTGGGGACTCTAAAGACGCGTTATTGCTGAAAAAACTGTACTTTCGCAAGTTCGCGGTTGTCACGAGCTTCCTCGCGTCCCGACTTTCTTCGTGGAGAACCCCAAAAGACACGATCCTGTCCGGGTTGGTGAGCAGGTCCAGGCTGGTCGACTTGTTAACTGCAAAAGAATGCAGGTCGTTAGAAAAAAGAAATGCACAGTTAATGAATCTAGCAAAAAGGAACCTACTTGGATCCTGAAAGCGGCAATAGCCATCGTAACAGAAGAAGAAAAACTTCATCTCGTAGGCCCTTGCATTGCTAGGATAGCTATGTATCCCTCCGGCAATGGTAAGTCGTCGGGACAAGTAATATGAGTCCTTGTCCTTACTCCTTTTGAGGAAATACGCGCAGCTGAGCTTTACCGCTGTTAGCTCGCCCAAGCCACTCTTGCGGCACGCGATGTACATCGCAACGGCGATGACATACACGTTTGGCGTTAACTGCATTGGTGCGATCCCGAAGTGATCCAGGACCGACCTAAAAAAAGGGTGGAAAGGAATCATCCCCCCACCCTTGAAAATCTCTTTGGAGATCGCAGCTAAACCATTAGAAGGATGCCGCGACGACGTCGAACTGTCTCTTTACCCTCTCGAACTCCTCTTGGGTGAGAACCGAGAAGACCTCAAGGGATGCGTCCGCGGGAACATCCCGCGAAGACGAGCTGGCTTCTTCCTTGGATCTGGACGCTGAGGGTTCCATTCCGCAGTCTGCAACACCGACAGACAGAAGGTCATTTTAGCCATCGTACGTTGCCCCATACGGCGGCATAGAACAAATTCCCTAAACCCTAGCAGTGACTCGAGCCGCCATTCACGGCTCGAACCCGACTCCAGCGTCATGTCTCTGATGAAACATCAGAAGACCCAACGCCATTGCACCACCATGAAAGCTTAAAAAAAAAAAAACAAAAAAAAAAAAAACCCTTACCTTTTGGGGCACGTGACCGTGGACAGTTCTTGCTTTGGGTATCGGAGAGATGCCAATCGGAAGAGAAAAGCTTCCGGTTTGTAAAGATTTTTCGCTCGAGGCAAAAGAGATTGTGGTGGCATCATCTGAAAAATTTGGGCTTTTATATGGACTATGAACCGGCGTTTACCACCCCTCGGAATCAAAATGACGCCTTTCTCTCTCTTCGCATTAAGTGTGCCCCACGCCGCATTTAATGCTATGATAAGAGTTGTCGTTTCGAGCGTGTCATGCAATTAATGCTTTGTCAAAGCAATAACGCATCAGCGCACAACGCATTTAATGCGCCTGGCAGATGCTTAACACGCGCAGAGCGCTCGTCAACGCAGAAACTACTTCATTAAATCTCCATCCATAAGGTACAGTAAGGAACACCTGATGAAGTCAGGTCGCTTAGGCGATGGCTGTCAGGTCGCTTAGGCGAGGGCCGTCAAATCGCTTGAGCGATGGCTGTTAGGTCATTTGGACGAGATTCGCGCGAGGTCGTGTTAGCAAAAGGCCCTATCCCGAGCTTCTTTCATTCAGGCCGGAATTGTCAGAACCTCTAGAAAACCTCCAATCGTGCCATGGCTTAGTTTCCAAGGTTCGATCCTCAAACCTTAAAAACTAGGGGACTTCTGTTATGCCTGGGAAATCAAGAGCTGACGTGGGAAATCACGTGATGGAGTGTGACCTGCTCCCGTCAGAGCGGTAAGCGCGCGCCAGACCTGCCAGATGCTGTGGAGATCCCACGTGTCCATTCCCTGCTCCAAATCGCGTGAAATCAGTATGGAAGGTGGGCAATATGACATAAAGCCGGATTTTGTCCTGACATTCACACCAACTGACGGATTTAATGATGATTACTTGCACTCATCTCACTATAAAAAGGAGAAGACCCCTTCATTGAGGGGATTCGGCCATTTCACACTCTGAATTAGCTACCCCTCTCTCTCTTGTATCTTTGCATTTACTTTTTACTAATCATTTTGTAAGTCAGTCTGCTGTTGCGACCTGACCCACAATATTAATACAACTATCAGTGGACGTAGGACCTGCTACCTTAGCATCTGAATCACTTTAAAAAGCTCTCACTACTACATTTACTACACTTTATCCATACTCACGTGTGCCTCATGGCCAACCAACATTACGTACGTGTCGTTTAGTTGGTGTTAAAATCACGCATCAACAGAAACCAACTCTCAAGTTTCCATTTGAGTGCTTCTTGTAGAGTTTTACCGACTTTGATGAAGTGATCACCAGACACTAATCAGTTTTAACATGTTTAAAGACTAAGAGGATTGAAAAACGGCTGCGTTTTCAGCTGTACGTCGTGCATATCATAAATTGGACACTGATAAGTAAGGAACAAGTAGGGAACACATGGCTGTAAACGTATGCCACTTTTTACCCTCTCAACTTTCTTCTTTCATCCCGACTTGTAGACTTTTAGCTCTGAAGTCCTCAAAGGCTCGCATCACTTGCTCAGCCAAACCACTATCGTCTTACATGGAAGCACGCGGAAAGTTTTTGGAATTCCCTCACGCTTCTGCACCTATCAGGGCTCTGATGTTTGATCTCGTATCGACGGTGGAAAATCGCCTTGACTCGCAGCTGTCCCCTTGCACTCTGCCACCTGATGTTCAGTATTTTGAGAACCAGAATGGGAACGCTCAAGCCTCTCTGCAAATCAGATCAGGCCTGAACTCCTCCTCGGTAATTCTGTTTCTTCTGTAATGTTTTTGGGTTTTTTTGGTTCAAAATTTCCCTAGCTGCATAATACATAATATCGCCACATTTAGAAAGTGCATGCAACATTTATTTATAATAATTGGATGCAAAAGCTATAGTATCCATAAGTTTTAATATCTTATAATTAGAATTTAGAGAAAACGTGAATTACATTTTGTTTGTGGAAAGAATCATATAGACGGTGTGTTGTTAGAAACAATGTTAGGAACTAAGTTAAGAAAAATTCTCTATTTGATCGATATCTATAGCCTATTGGGCTCAACAAAAAGGAGATTATACCGTGATAAGGACTTGAGTCTTGACTCTTGAGGGATTTCTTCAAGGATTTAAAAAATATTGAGTGCAGTGGTGTGATTAATTTAAGCTGCAAGTGTTATATGTCGGACTTGATTATTCCCTGGCCTTATACACCTAAGTTGCTGTATATCATTTTGATGTTGGGTGCTGTTAATCATAAACAACATTTTATGCCTTCAAAATCCTGTCTGTAACTTCCAAACTTTGTATTGAGTGACTAACGGCTGGTTCTACCTTCCATTGTTCTTCAAACAATTCAAGGCTAAATAGTAAATTTGGCAGCTGCAAGCTTGATTTATTTTGAATCTGAGTTTTGTGCTTCCTTCCACTTCTTCCATTTCCCATTTTCAATATTGCATGTGGGGTAGGTTTTGAATTTGTTTGGAGGATAATATATGGTCTTGCTAGCTCAACTCTGTTCGAACCAATCTTTTATTGGTTTTATGCTGGCTTTGGAGCTTTGATTGAACTGCCACTCTACATTCTTGTGATTGCTTTGGTGGTAGTTTCTTTGAGTAATTATTTTGCACTTACTGGCATCCTCTTGATATTTAGCATCATAAATAGAGGTTTAAATTCTTGTTTCCTCCCTTTTGTGGCATTTTTAGTAGCCTGGAGCTTGATGCATAATAATCTAAACGAGAAGATTGCTCTATTAATTGGTTGCCAAAGTAGAAGGAAGAAATCAAGATCAATTGGTTGGACTAGTTAGACTTTAGCTGCTTGCAGAGAACATGAAATGAAACCTGGAAATTTGTCATATTATTACCAAAATATTACCACAATTATTTGTTGGGTTTGAATGACAAGTTGACACTTATATGATGCTACTTCATCTTGGTCTAATTTTTTAACGTAATTTGCTTGTATGTCAGATTGATTTCATTCTGGGAAGTTGGATACACTGTGAATTGCCAACAGGAGCATTGAACATAACCAGCCTTTCAGCCTATCTGAACTCTTCTACTAATGCGCCAAATTTCTTAATTGAGCTTATACAGAGTAGCCCTACATCTTTAATTTTCATCCTTGATTTGCCTCCTCGAAAGGATCTTGTCCTAGATCCAGACTACCTTCACACTTTCTATGAAAGCACAAAGTTGGACACATATAGACAAATGCTTGAGAAAGTCCCCGAGGTTCGACCATACTTCTCGCCAACCCTCTACATACGTTGCGCCGTCTCTCCGACAGCAATTATGGTGCGTATAGAAACAGAGTCAGGAGAATCAGCACGCACTGAGGAGATTGTAAGAAGTTATGTCGATCCTGTTGCTAAGGAGCTGCTGGAAATATGGTTAAATCAATGTGCTTGTGCTGAAAGAGAAGTCGAGGAGACAGACAAAGCTTATTTGGAAAAGAGGGATAGCGTCAATAGGAGCAAGACCATTGAGATTGATCTAGCCTCAAGCTTCCCAAGATTATTTGGGCAAGAAGTAGCAGATCGAGTAATAGGAGAAATACGGAAGGTTTATACAGGCACATGAGGTGCTGAGGTGGGTAGTTAGGGGAAAGATAATATGGTTTCTGTTAATTATTTACCTTAAATTTGGAGTAAAATATATTATAATTCTCCCCCTTTTACATTTAAGTTGTTTGTCACAAGAATAGACAAACCTTAGAACCATTATTGAATGCACAGAATCTTCCAAAATTGAATTGGTTGATTGGATCAAGAGGCTTGTCTTCCTTCTAGAGATGATATTTTAATGGGAATAATTGACGTGTGTTTGGAAAAGGACAGCCTTTTAATAATAAATTATTGGCCCTCCCATTACGGGCTCAATCAAATATGAAGTGTATAAAGTTAAAAAAAAAAAAAAAAAAAAAAAAAAAAAAATCACAAACCCATTGCAAATCTCATGGATTTTTTTTTTTTTTACGTATAACTAATCTTCCTGAAAATTAAATTCTTGTTCCGCAGCTTGGTTTGCTGATAGTATTAAGCCCGTGAAATATTAAAAAACCCAAGAGACGAACTGCACTTATCCAAACTTTATTCAACTTCTGCACCTTGTTCGCTGAGAAATTAACACATAAATAACCGAAGAGAAAAACGAAGAAAGCAAAACGACGCGTAGTTAATCGTGTCAGATCAGTAAGCAGATGCAAACGAATGAATCAGTGCCCATTTATTTTGGTTTTGTAACATAATAATATTACGCTTTAATGTTTATATGATATGACATTTTTGTTTCAATCAAAATTATGATGACAACAATACTAATTGAAGTGGGTAATTAAATTATCTTCTCAAGGGGTGTTATTTTTTTATTATCAGGATACTCTAAATTCTGTTCCTGCTTTATTCTTAATTAATAACCATTTTAGACACAAATGTCTTCATATCTATCAAATAACAATTAGTCCAATTGTGCAAAATGACTTTTGTAACCCCATAAATTAATTTTTTGGACAAAATGCTCTCACAATACATATTACCATTTTACCCCTAAATAATTAAATTTTTGAACTGTTAATGACCTTATTATGAAAACTATTTACATGAATACTACCCAAAACACCCCAACCACCCAAGCTGATTGCCAATCACCACTGCCAATACTCGGAATGGTGCACAACCGACCAGATCTTATTGGTCATGCATTATTCCGACGACTGACAATCGTCTTGGGTGACTGAGGGTATTTTGTTAAATTTTAAATTTTTATTGTTGTTGGAGTGTTTTAGCCAAATTATCAAATGTAAGGGGTTAAAAACAATAATCTAAATAATAAAATAATAATATTTAAAAAGAAGGGCAATTTAGTAAATGATTCTCTCATAATTCTTTTATTCTTCCAACCAAACATATTAATTGTTTATACTTATCAATTTAACCAAACATATATAATGCAATATGCCCTTGAAGATTAAAGAGTAAATTTGTAATAAAATATAATAATAAATGGTACTTACTTAAAGGGTGGATGTACTTAGCAAAAATCTCATTTTTGTATTTTAAAAAAAAAAAAAAAAAAAAAAAACTATTTTTGTCTTTCACTTATATTCATTAAAATCTCTGGTATCCAACATTTTTCTTTCATTTCAATGATTAAGTCTATTGTTTTTATCATTCTTTTTTTCAATGACCAAATTTATTGTTTTGGGCAATTTTCCTTCTAATGATAAGATCTATTGTATGAGGTCAATAAATCATATTCCAGATTATGTTCTTATCTCAAAGCCTATTATAGTAGCATCCTCTCCACTTTTATGTTTTAACTTTTTTTTTTTTCTTTTAATTTTTTTCCTTTTGTAATTATCAATATAATCAAACTTTTTTTCATCCTATTTTCATGAATAATTAGAGAAAAATTTTATTATGGGGTAACTGCTAAACCCATTGGGTCTGTTGATGTGTGATTTTGACACTAACTATCTCATACATGCAAAGTGTTAAAAAGATCTTAGAAATTACACGTGAACAATTTTGAGAGTTGATTATGGAATATTGTTATCATAGTTGCATGCAAAGACTTAAAGTAAATGAGACAATGAGAGTTTTATAGTGGTTCAGATGCTTAAAGTGAATCCTACATCCACTGCTTTCTTTTATAAGAGTGAGATCTTGGTTATTGGCCAAGTTTACAAGAGGTCACGAACTGCGATCTAAGTTACAGGTGCTTGGTGTTCTAAGTGTTTTTAGAGAATATCAAACTAGTTTCTTTCCCATAGAGTGTCTTTACTATTTTCTTTGTTTAATTCAAAGTGTCTAATCCTGATTTTGTGAGGGAGAGCTGCCTATTTATAGCCGCTGAGCTCAAGGTAATGATTACATATCTGCAAGTGGGTTGGTGTAGTGCAAACCCTTCATGGCGTCTCATTGATTGATAACTTATGAAATATCTTTAAATTAAACGAGGCTTGGACAGGTGTGCAAACCAAATTCATTTACAGACAAAACTTAAGCCGATTGTGTTGTTGACAACTATATTCTTTCTGTCTTGGGCGACGTGACAGACTCAGGATGACGTAAAGTCTTCCTAAACTCTGATCGGTACTCGCGGACATCAACTTATGCCAGCCTTGATTTTTAGGCATAACAAGGTCCATAATAGGTTAAGGGTAGATTAAAGTAACCCATAATAATTGATTTTTTCTTTCACGGAATTGAGTATTTCTTCTTTCTTAAATAAGATAGAGTAATTCATCAAAAGAGATTTTGGAATTTTCTCTTTTTTTAATTATACTTAAATTCATAAATTGTTATATTTTATTTTTATTTGGATAAATAATTATAATTATCTAGTTTCTCTAATACATTTTGACACTTTTTTTCTATTGTTTCCACACGTTTTTTTTTTTTTTTCATTTTTAAAGTAAAAATAACTCTGTTTCCTTTATTGGTAATATTATAATTTTAATTTATCATTTGGGTTTAATTTTATAATAAATTTAAAAATAATAATAATAAAAATAAAATTCATCATTTTTACTAAATGGATTTTTTCTCTATCAACCGGACATGTTAGATTAAAAGCATAAATTTAAACATGAATTTATTCATGCAATCTCCACATTGAATCACAAAAACAAGACATAATCTCAATTAAATAATAATCCAGGATATACATATTAGTTTATCAAATATTGAATAAATAAAATTAAGGATTAGACAAACCTCAGAACCATTATTGAATGCACAGAATCTTCCAAAATTGAATTGGTTGATTGTGATCAAGAGGCTTGTCTTCCTTTCTAGAGATGATATTTTAATGGGAATAATTGATCGTGTGTTTGGAAACAGGACAGCCTTTTAATAATAAATTATTGGGCCCTCCCATTACGGGCGCAAATCAAATATGAAGTGTATAAAGTTAAAAAAAAAAAAAAAAAAAAAAAAAATTATCACAAAACCCATTGCAAAATCTCATTGGATTTTTTTTTTTTTTTACGTATAACTAATCTTCCTGAAAATTAAATTCTTGGTCCGCAGCTTGGTTTGCTGATAGTATTAAGCCCGTGAATATTAAAATAACCCAAGAGACGAACTGCAGCTTATCCAAACTTTATTCAACTTCTGCACCTTGTTTCGCTGAGAATATTACACATAAATAACCGAAGAGAAAAACGAGAAAGCAAAACGACGCAGTTAATTCGTGTCAGATCAGAAGCAGATGCAAAGGAACCAACTCTCAAGTTTCCATTTGAGTGCTTCTTGTAGAGTTTTACCGACTTTGAATGAATACAGACACTAATCAGCTTTAACATGTTTAAAGACTAAGAGGATTGAAAAACGGCTGCGTTTTCAGCTGTACGTCGTGCATATCATAAATTGGACACGATGAGTAAAGACCAAGTAGGAACACATGGCTGTAAACGTATGCCACTTTTTACCCTCTCAACTTTCTTCTTTCATCCCGACTTGTAGACTTTTAGCTCTAAGTCCTCAAAGGCTCGCATCACTTGCTCAGCCAAACACACTAGTCTCACATGGAAGCACGCGGAAAGTTTTTGGAATTCCCTCACGCTTCTGCACCTATCAGGGCTCTGATGTTTGATCTCGTATCGACGGTGGAAAATCGCCTTGACTCGCGGCTGTCCCTTGCACCTGCCACCTGATGTTCAGTATTTTGAGAACCAGAATGGGAACGCTCAAGCCTCTCTGCAAATCAGATCGGCCTGAACTCCTCCTCGGTAATTCTGTTCTTCTGTTATGTTTTTGGGTTTTTTTGGTTCAAAATTTCCCTAGCGCATAATACATAATATCGCCACATTTAGAAAGTGCATGCAACATTATTTATAATAATTGGATGCAAAAGCTATAGTATCCATAAGTTTATATCTTATAATTAGATTTAGAGAAAACGTGAATTACATTTTGTTTGTGAAAGAATCATATAGCGGTGTGTGTTAGAAACAATGTTAGGAACAAAGTTAAGAAAAATTCTTTATTTGATCGATATCTATAGCCTATTGGGCTCAACAAAAAGAGATTATACCGTGATAAGGACTTGAGTCTTGAGGGATTTCTTCAAGGATTTAAAAAATATTGAGTGCAGTGGTGTGATTAATTTAAGCTGCAAGTGTTATATGTCGGACTTGATTATTCCCTGGCCTTATACACCTAAGTTGCTGTATATGTTTTGATGTTGGGTGCTGTTAATCATAAACAACATTTTATGCCTTCAAAATCCTGTCTGAACTTCCAAACTTTGTATTGAGTGACTAACGGCTGGTTCTACCTTCCATTGTTCTTCAAACAATTCAAGGCTAAATAGAAATTTGCGCAGCAAGCTTGATTATTTTTAATTGAGTTTTGTGCTTCCTTCCACTTCTTCCATTTCCATTTCAATATTGCATGTGGGTAGGTTTTGAATTTGTTTGGAGGATAATATAGGTCTTGCTAGCTCAACCTGTTCGAACCAATTTTTTATGGTTTTATGCTGGCTTTGGAGCTTTGATTGAACTGCCACTCTACATTCTGTGATTGCTTTGGTGGTAGTTTCTTTGAGTAATTATTTTGCACTTACGCATCCCTTGATATTTAGCATCATAAATAGGGTTTAAATTCTTGTTTCCTCCTTTTGTGGCATTTTTAGTAGCCGGAGCTTGATGCATAATAATCTAAAGAGAAGATTGCTCTATTAATGGTTGCCA